GCCGCCTCTCGCGGCAGCCCGGGCCAGAGCGCGGCGGCGGCGGCGCGGGAGCGGTCGTGCTGCAGCTCGCCTGGGCGGTGGGCGCCCTCTCGGTGCGCAGCTTGCCGCCGCCGCCGCTCGTCTGAGAGCGTGGAGAAGCGACGCTCCGAGAATCGCCGTTGCTGCCGCCGCCTGAGCGCCTCGGTTCCCCAGGCGCCCCCAGCGGCGGCGACCAGCAGCGCACCGCCGGGCGGAAGCGAGAGGGCGGGCGAGGAAATTCGGGGCGGGCGGGCGCTCCGCCGGGAAACCGACCCGCGACGGCAGTTATGGCGTCACGTTTCTCGGGTTAAAAAAAGACAAACTCAACCAAAAAGGAGCTTCCTTCTCCCGCTTCCTCTCGGTCTTTCTTTCAGTTTTTGCTCCCCCTTCTTTCTCCCCTCCCCCCTCCAGCGGTATTAATTTCCCCTTGGGATTGAGAATCCTGGGTGAATAGAGCTAATCAGAATCTCCACGACGTTGTTTTCATCAATTTGAAATCCTAAAACTAAAATTTCCTTTAGGTACTCTAAATTCACAAAAGTTCTAGTATAAAATGAGGACGCGGTAGGAAAAAGCAAAGGGATTACAATGTGCTGGGGGCCCACCAAGTGCCTAGGCTGCTACAGGTGTTTTCTCTTGTTTATACTCTTAATTCCTGTCACCCAGTATAATAGACTACAGAAGGGGTTAAAAGAATACCTTCTCTTTTAAAATTTGGCTGCCCAACCCAAGAACTGAAAAGTCTAAAACTAAAAAGTCCCCCTAGATGCTGTCTATAAGCAATTACCTGCTGTCTAGAAGCATGTATATGTCAGTACAGTGTGTGTTGCCTACTTGGTTACATAATGCTCGTGTTTTCAAACCGAGTTATTGTCCTAACTCAGAGTCCCAGGCAGTAATCTCTGAACCGGTGTAATTGAAGAGATTCTCATTCCCAGGGCACTCACTTATTAATGCATTCATTCACATAAAAATATTTTTTAATCGCCTAAAATGTCAGTCACTGGCTAGACCCAAGATAACAGAAACAACAAAAGCCTGCCCTCAAAAATTTTACAATCTAGTTAATATAGGGAAGGGGCATGAGGACTGTTTTTGCAGAAGGTTGGATTCCAAGCCTGCTGCACAGAACTCAGGCAGAAGTGAATCAATGACAGAGCAATCTTTCCAGAAGATGACATTCCACTGTGACCATTCCTGTAGTTAGGCCCACAGAAAGAAAACACAGGTTGTGCTTTACAAGAGTTAAAGACAAACCTGCCCCTACCTAGTAAACACAAACCTGTCCCCTTACTGAAGTTCTTACCATTGTTCTATCCTCCTTTCTCCCCATACCAATGAATTTTCCATGGAAGCAGAAAGCACATATAAATCCTACCTAGCCCAGGGGATGGAGGGAGTCTCTCTTCCACTAGCGATTAGAGACCGCCACTCTGTCTATGGGATGGCCTTTGGTTTTTTTACTTACTCTATGCTAAATAAACTTACTTTTACTTTCAACTCCGTATTGCTCACGTTTGAATTCTTTGCTATGTGAAGCCAAGAACCCTCTTTTCCTGTAACATAGTGAGGGAGACATATATAAATCTGTGATTAAAAAACAAAACTTATCGTTCAGAATAAAGAAGCAATTTTTTGAGAACTGGGAAGAAGAAGCAATTAATTGAAGTTAACCAGTGTTCTGAATTTCAAAGAGTGAATAGGATTTGGAACAAAGTGGGGAGGGGCCTTCCATGTGGAAGAAACTGAAGTCAAGACCCAGAGGCAGAGGTTAGGAGTTTGAGGCTGGATGTTTGGTTAGTGGATGGAGCTGGCTGCCCAGCAGGACCAGGGGGAAAGGCAGTGGGAAGAGTTAAGGGGACACAGAGGTTTATAACTTGCACAAATAAATGGATGTTAATTCTGTTGACTGAGCTTTGGAATGTGGATGAAAAAAACGGCCCCGTACTAAACTTGACAAGCTCAGGAGAGGCCTGCATGGCAGGCCCCACAAACTCAAGACCAAAATTAACCACATAGGATGGTCTGAATATAAAAATTCCTAACTAAAAGTGGGTCATGGCCTGTAATCACACCCTTGGCCTGTAGCTTCCTTGACAAAGGTCACTCTTTACCTTAAGTGAACCTTATTGTCTTTTTGCATCTAAGATGACATACCCTTGGAATGTCAGAGTAATCCCTTTTTCTGGACCCCTCTAAGGCACAACCACTGCATCAGAGCAGGAAACTATAGAAGCCCTCATTGTTGTCTTGTCCCCCAATACCATCTCTGTGTTGTAAATGTTAATTATTAACTATCCTGTGCCCATCAATGTAAAAGAAGTATTTGTCTCTCCAGTTTACTTTTTATACAATCCCGGAGATTACACCCCCCCATCCCTCCCCCCACACGTGCGCCCTTTGCTTTCTCCCCCCCACCTTAATCTACCACCAATGGATTTCATGTAACCCTCCTCCTTTGATTCTAATGTATAAAATAAGTTGCAAAACCGCCATTTTCTGGAGCATTTTCTCAATCCATTGAGATTTTGCTTCCCGGCAATGGTAGTCAGTTTGGCTCAAATAAACTTTTTTTTAAGATTTTATTGGGGAATTGGGGGAGGGGAGCATTGTGTTTTTCCAGGACCCATCAGCTCCAAGTCAAGTTGTTGTCCTTCAATCTTAGTTGTGGAGGATGCAAGCTCAGCTCTAAGTCTAGTGCCGCTTTCAATCTAGTTGCGGGGTGGTGGGAGGATGTGGGGGGGAGGTGAACTGGCAACCTTGTTGCACACTGAGCCATCCAGCTGCCCATTGTCAGCTCACAGCTGCTCAGCTCAAGGTCCCCAATCTTAGTTACAGGGGGAGGGGAGGGTTGCAGCCCACCATCCCATGTGGGAATCGAACCAGTGAACCTGGTGTTCAGAGCTCATGCTCTTAACTAACTGAGCCACTTGGCCGGCCCCCAAATAAACTTTTATAAGCTTTCTCTTAGACTGGGTGTTTTTGGTCAACAGGAAGCAGGAGGAGGCCAGGTTGGGAATGGAAGAGATAATATTTGAACTGCCTTGGAGATATTCAGGGAGAGAAGGGCAGCCTTAGCTCAGGTGAAAGGTTAAGGTTGAAAATATGCACTTGGGAATCAAAGTATTCCCTGATGGTTGAAGCCCCAAAGATGGATAAAAATGAGTTACTCTGAAGACCATTTAATGAGTAGAAGGAGGAAGAGGAGTTTGTGAAAGCACCTGAGAACAGTCAGAGAAAGAGGAGGAGATCAAGAATGGAGGATAACATAGATGTGCAAACAAATCGAGAGAGAGAGAGAGAGAGAGAGAGAGAGAGAGAGAGAGAGAGAGAGAGAGAGAGAAAGAGAGAGATCTTCATGATCCATGGAGAGCAGAGGAGAAAGTGTCCTGAAAGTGCTGCAGGGCAATTCTGGGGGATTTGGACTGTGAGGGTAAGCAAAGTTTGCCACCCAAAATATACTCTTTGGGATATTGATTATTTTAAGCTGGTTATTTTTATGAACAAAGACTCAGAAAGAACGTTTGACTCTCCCCCTTACCTGCCTAAAGGAATTCAGATAGAAAAACCTGCTTAAAGGAAGGAGGCTATGGCCTTAGCATAAATTGTGACAGAAAGGGAGGAACCTAGGAACCTCTATTTGTTGAACTCTCCTCTGTGTCCCATTGTTTCTTGGTGGGCCAGCAAGAATTTGTTTACCAAGGTGTGCTCTATCTCATCTACCTGTGAATTACCTACTTTCCCTTTGCAGTCCCAGGCCCCTGCCTCCCTCTCCTTAGCCCTTTACAGCATAAATGCCTCAACCGTGGACTTATCCTCAGGGTCCCATATTTTTATGGATACTCCATATGCACATACGTAATAAATGTGTTTATTTTTTCCTGTTAATTTCTTATGTTAATTTGATTAGACTAGCCAGAAGAATTTAGAAGGGTAAAAGGAAAATTATTTTTCCTCCCCTACAATGGAAAAGAAGCTATTAAATTGAAGATCTAGGAGGCCATTGATAATCTTGACAAGAGAAATCTCCATACAAGGTGGTGGCAAAGTAAGATTAAAATGGTCTGGGAAGTGAATGGAAGGGAGTAATGAGGAGTGGGTGGCTAAATATTATTTTTCTGATTTTGTCAGGGAATGAAGAGAGAGGACTGTAGCTAGAGATGAAGGGTTCAAGCTTTTTAAATAACATTCAGGAACTATCCAAGATTCACTGAGAAGCTATTATGTGCCAAGCACCATAATAGGTCCTAGAGATCTGAGATGCAATCCTTGTTCTGTATTTTACAGTCTGTTGGAGGACCTTTGGAGTCCATTGGAGATAAGCAGGCAGTTGCAATAAAGTTACAATGTAACAATGTAACACTGAGTTCTGTCTATCCATATGTAAGATGGTGAATAGAGGTTGCTGTGGGAGTGTATAATAATATCTAACCAGGAAAAGTAAGCGACATTTGAGCTGATGGCTGATGATGAGAGTGGGGGTGGGAAGTGGTTTCCAGGAAGAAGGTACTGCATGTGCAAAGGCTCAGAGGAAGACAGCCTGTGTTGCAGGAGGAACTGAAAGTAGTTCAGTCTGGTTGCTACTTGGAGTGGGGTGTGGCGACAAGGGTATAATGAGGAGCCATTGAAGTTTTAAAACAGAGGAATGATACGTTCAGATTTGCATTTTATAAAGATCTCCAGCTTCAGTAAAAGTGGAAGGAGGGAGCAAATCTAGTACTCTTTTTTAGACTCATGATTTGATTATTAAATACCTTGCATGCGTCAAGGTCCAGACAAGAAAAAGACATCATATACAAAGTGTTTAAGTGAGAAAAGTTTAATGAAAGGACTCTTTACAGAACTGAGGGCAGGACAAGGGACACACAGTCTGAAGGGGAGTTGAAAAGAAAGGATATAGATTTCCTCCCTCAT